TTTTTTTTTGGAGACAGAGTCTTGCTACGTAGTTCAGGGTGGCCTTGAACTTAGTATGTATCCCAAGCTGACTTCAAACTCTGTGATCCTCTTGCCTCAGCCTCCTAAGTGCTGAGATCACAGGTGCGCACCACTATGCCTGGCCAATATTGTGTTTCTCATACTTCAAAGGCTTCAAAATTACTTCAGGTGATGAAATTATTGTAAAAATAATTTAGCAGTAAAGAGCGGTGAGCCAGCACTCATTTTTTCCCCTATGAATATTCAGGTTTACATACAAAGGCCGATGTACTGCTATAGTCATATTCTAAGAAGGAAATTCTGAAAAATTTGAGCTGTGTGTATTATCTGCATATGTGACATGAATGTCAAACCAGAAATTTAAATAAATACTGAGATCAGTTCTACAGTATAAGACTTCAAAATGTGGTAATCATGGAAAACAAACACAGCTGAACAAGTGTTAGGGTTGAATTTTAGCATCTTATTTCTATATCAAAACTCTCCCACATATTCAAATTTCTCTTGATGGCCATGTGATTGATATATCTATATCCCAAGCCTGGAACAAACATGATAAATAGGTCTCAACATGTTTTTCTCCGAAGTTAGTAGCTCTCAAAGGGCAGAAATTCAACTCAGCTAGAAGCCTACAGACGAGCAGTTATCTTTACTACCGAAGGCTGTCCACGGCCATGGCACCTTCTGGCAGCTGTTAAGGAGCTTTAAGGCCTCACTCAGATTCTGCTATCATCTTTCTTCTGCTGTCAGTGATCAGGTGTTGGTGACAATCACCTCAGGAGCTTTATGACACTGTGTTCCTTGGTGCCAGAGCCATGCTAGAGCAGGGACAGAGGCTACAGAGTCCTTTTTAAAAAGCCCGTATTAGTGAGCCTGATAAGCTTGGCTATGCCTGCTCCCTGCTCCAATCCCCTTCTGAGACCTTACAACAGCAGGAGGCCAGGGGTCCAGTCAGGATGTGCTCTGTCTACACTTGATTCATTTCCCTTCCAGCCAGTTCATACACACACACACACACACACACACACACACACACACACACACACACTATCCCTGCTCAGAACCCAGCCCCAGGCATGTTTCTCATAGAGGCTCAGTGAACTACTCTAGGAAAAGTTACTCCTGTTGCAAATTAAAAGTTACAACCCAGCCAAGATGGAGTCACCACAGAGTAGTGTCACTGTACACATCCAAACCAGGAAGAGGGAAAGTTGTGAGACAAACAGCAACCAGAAAGTTAAAGACATATTAACTCCTCAATCCTTGAAAACACCCACTAATTTGCTTCAACCTGAGAAAAAGTCTTTCCTCAACTTTTACTCAAATCTAGTTTTTCCGGTTTTTGAAAAATGTTAGTGAAAAGTTCTTTATTTTGATTTTGATTATCACTACTGTGAGAGGTTACTATTTCTCATTAATAATTAAAGTTTTAACCACTCTGTGCATTGAATATCTTCTGTGGGTTGGCCTAAATACCACAGACATTTTTCTCCACCACAGAAAACTGTTTTTGAGTTAAAAATATCCAATAGGGCTGGGGACACGGCTCAGTGAAAAGGCACCTGTCCAGCATGCATGTGGCCTTGGGTTTGATCCCCATACCACACACGCACAAAATCAATGAACAGAACACCACAGCAAAACACCCCACTTGCAAACCAGTGTTCGGACCCTCTCATAGCATAGCAGCAATCACACAAATCACACTCACCATTTCTTCAGCAGTAGATGCAGATCCTGTAAGAGCTGAGGCGGGAACGCGAGTGCCAACAGAGGGCGCAGACACAGCCCCGGCAGATGTCAAGGAAGCTAAAGCAGCAGAGGGCACATAGGTGGCGCTGGGGACTCCAACCGCCCCTATGGGTGGGGATGGCAGCAGCTGTCCGGGCAGCACCGAGGGCATCTGGGCCACTGAAGGGTCCAAGTGGTCAGAGTGCTCTCTTCCCTGAACACCAGCGCCATACTCTTCCTTTTTATTATTTGTGAAATTGGTCCCCATAAATCACAAATTCAGTTCATTAAAATTCTCCCCAGTTAAGATTATTGTTCTCCTCCAATAAAAACATACAATGGTTAAAATTTGATCCTAACAAAAATGTAGATATTTGTAGTTCATTGGAGTCCACTATTTTTTCAGCTAATACAGTTTCTCATATTAACCAGTTAATGTCACCATTAACCACCAAAGACTTCAGACCACTTACTTCCACATGGGAAAGTAATAACTTGGTCTTAAATAAAAGATAAAAATAAGCTGGAGGATTGGGGATTCAGCTCAGTGGTTCTGCAGCCTGCCTCACAAGGACAAGATCCTGAGTTCAATTCCTGATAACAAAAAAAAGCTGGCTTTTGTGGTGCAGGCCTGTAATTCCAGCACTCTGGGAGGCTGAGGCAGGAGGAACTGGGCTATATAGTGAGTTTGAGGCCAGCCTGAATTACATAGGGAGACCTTGTCTTGAAAAACAAAAAACAAACAAATAAAAATGATGTGTTTAGGGTCAGGGATTTAGCTCAGTGGTTCTGCCACCTGCCTTGGAAGCACAAAGTCCTGAGTTTGATCCCTGGTACTAAAAAAAAAAAAATGATGTGTTCATCTGGAACCTCAGTTAAATGTACTGCCATCTTACTATGAGTGATACATACGTCATACAAAGCCTAAGGATCTATATGTCCTTTTGCACTCATACAACTATCCTGATACATGGTCATGTATTTAAATCTTCACAACTATATTCTGGAAACATTGTACCCCCCTCTTATTTCCACCTATTGCTATTAGCCTAGCAAAAATAGTGTATTTTTATTCTTGACTTTTTTAGCAAATAGCAATAAATCAAGGCATTGTAACCATCATTACTTTTGACAATGTAAAAGAAATGGTTCTTTTAAAATTTTTTTGAAGTGGGGTTTCACTCTGTTGCCCAGGCTGGTTTAGCACTGCTGGGTCACATAATCCTGTTTCAGCCTCCCAAGTAGCTGAGACTACAGGAATGCACCACTGTGCCAAGCAAGAAATGTGTTCTTGGGTGGGGATGTAGCTTCATGGTACAGCACACACGAGGCATCAGCTTTTTGTTTGTTTGTTTGTTTTAAGAGTAGGAAGGGGGAATAGGAATAGCTCCTGAGAGACAGAAGGGGTCCTGAATGAGTGGCCAATGAGGCCCTTTGTCAGAGGTAATTTATACAGCAAAGTCACAAATGTGTGTATAATGTGGGTCAAACTATAATCAACCTATAGGATTACAAGTACACCTGCTTAGCTAATATTAATCCAATAGAGAAGCAGAGCATATAGCAAGGGTATACAGCTGGCATCATTAACCTTGGCTTATGTATGACTTCTAAACAGTAATACTTTGGGAAGGGATGGGTCTAGGTGCTCTGGTCACCCACCTAGGTGTCTGATGCTTATCTGCACTTAATGGACTAGGTAGTACTAATTACAGTATAGCCTCAAGTTCTGCTTATCCCGTAGGGAAGTATAAGCCAGAGGCCTCAGGTTCAAGGCCCAGCACCTCCTAACCCTGAAAAGGTTCTTTCAGTTAGACTATGTAAATCATGAATAAAGAGCACATCTGCACATTTAACTGATCATAGGGACCTCTCATATAGCATCTCTCTGTCACAACTGAAGCTTAACCTTGATTTAAGGAGTGAATGGAGTCTGGTGTGGTGGTGCATGCCTGTAGGGATGCTGAGGTAGGAGGGATTGCAAGTTTGAGTCCAGACTAGGCAATGTAGCAAGACTTTGTCTCAAAATAAAAAATATAAAAGGGCTGGGGATATAGCTCAGCATGAAGGCCCTGGGTTCAATCCCTACAGCAACAGCCCCCACTTCCCCACACACAAAACAGTGAATGGTATCATCTTCCTAAAGCAAGGATAAAGGAGTTCTTCCATTTTAGATTCACTTCTCCGTCAGCATTAGAATGTGGTCAGCTTCCACTTAAGACCACATCTCTGTGGTACGAAACAGCAGTATGAGGGTTTGCAAATTCAATGAGCTGTTTCAGAATTCTGAATGGAAGACATTATGTAGGTCCTATAAGTAAATGTTGTCTTTTCATCCAGAAAGTTGGGCTTATGTACCAGTCATTTTCTTAAATTATTTGTGTATAAAAGAGTCATAATTACCTTGCTAACAAAGTTTGATGACAGTTACAGTGCCTAGATCCTTTGAACCCTCTGATGAAAGGGCTGCTTTGATATAAAATAGTACTGTTTTTTTTTTTTTGCTTAAATTCTTTTATTGGTACATTTTAGGTATATAATACATTTACATTTCTCATTGGGAACTTGTACCTTTACATGATGTATCTTGGTTCTTATTTTTTCCTCATTCCCTATGCTCCCTTCACCCCCTCCACCCTTCCCTATTTACAAAGACTTTGTTTCCATTTTTTCCTTTTTCTCATACTTTTTCCTTTCCCTTCTTTCCTTTTCCCTACCCCTCCCACTTTCCCTACCCCTTTAGAGCTTTTCTTCCTATTTCAAATTATCAATTATTTGTTTTAATCATTTTAATCCTTATTTACACTTTCAGTTTCTCACACCAGAGAAACTATTTGATATTTACACGTGTGTCCTATTTATTTCACTTAAGAGCATGGCTTCAATATGCAACCATTTAGCTATAAATGTCTCTAGTTTATTGTTCTTTATGGCTGAGTAGTACTCCATTTTATTAAAAAACCCACATATTCTTTATCCAGTTTCCAGTTGATGAGGACTTGGGCTGTTTCCAAGCTTTAGAAAATAGCACCATTTTTTAATGTGAAAACAATGTGCATGTACACACACACACACACACACACACACACACACACTCAGAGTTTTAACATGTTTTTGCTGGAATGTGATACTAAGTGTCTGTCTTTTGGCAGTGGCAGACATTACCAGTACAGAACTGAGCTCAGATCTGGCCAGGGATAGCCCGGAAGAGAGGCGGGTGACCAACTCTCCTAAAGTGGGCTCATTCATGGGTTTTCTGTTTATGAGATGACCATTATGTTTAATAGTAATTATTCCTCCTTTAACGGGGCTGCTTTTTTTTCACAGTTGTATTTTTCTACTGTGCCTAAAATTAATTGAAAAATTGGCAGGTATCATTTTAAGGTTTTTTTTTTTTGGTACCAGGATCAAACTCAGGACCTTGCACTTGCGAGCCAGGTGGCGGAACCACTGAGCTAAATCCCCAGCCCCTTAAGGTTATTTTTTATCAACAAACTCTGTGTTCTTCATAAAAGTCTCTAATTTATAATCTATAAGATTTGAGAGTAACATACAACATGAGATTCCCTGGAGATTATAGACAACAGAGAGCTAGGACAAACAAAAAAAATTAAAAAGCTATTTAATAGGACAGTTATATTAAAGCACCTTGCATTATTAAAAAGTGCATTATATAAAAAACAATTGTTTTAATGGGCGAAAGGGGGCCAGAAGTATTTTTTTTCTGATGAGAATTTAAAAATTAATAAGATGTTATAATAATTATTGTTATAATTAATAAAATGTTATAAAATCTAAATCCCACAAAGCATAGCCAGCATTATATTATAATGAACTTTCACCTTTGGTACCAACATTACTATAGTATGTACTTTACTATTTTTGTCCTCTTTATCATTCATTGTTATGACAAACAATGCCCCAGGTCACTTAAAACAGTTGGGATCTCAGAGAATGCATTTGGTACATATGAAGGAAGACTTCAGAGAAAGCCTTAAAAGGAATGAAACAAATCATGCTGTGTAACTGTCAGAATACATTGTCTTTCTATAAATCAGGCCTATTGGCCTGAAGGAGACATATCTGTATTTGAATATAAACTTTAAGATGGTGAACTTACTAAGGCAGTAAAAAACTAAGTAACCTCATTGCCTTTTTAAGTAGGTTGTGAAAAACAGTTTTTTTTTTTTATAATTGAATGTGATTAGTTCTAGTGAGGACTGGTCAACCAGTATCTCTTCCAAATACACAAATCCTTGATTCAGTACTTGTAACCTGCTAATAATTAGAACTGAAACACATTATTTTATCATTGAGGGTGGTGAGTTGGTTTTCAGCACTGATCCTCAAATAAAAGACTATTTATTGGAGAAATCAAGTTCTTATTCAAGTATTAGGAAGCTAAACAATTTGGCCTAGAGTTTCTATGATTACAAGTTTCTAATGCACATATGGGCCACATACCATGTCTGATTCTCATAGAACAGTGATGGTGAACCTTTTAGAGCTTTCAGTGATAGCAAACAGCCTGCTGCAGCACGTGTGCCATAGGTTCACCACCATCACAGAAAGATTTGCCCAGACTGTCACCACAACTTGCATGATTTAAATATTAAATGTCTGTTGGTGCCATAAAATGGGGGCATGAGAAGCACAGAGAAGTTATTCATAGGATTGAAATCATGTTCAGGATGTTACATAATCAAACTGTCTCAATGACACATAAGCCAAGTCCAAAGAGGATTTAATGTGAGGGAACACTGCAACGATGATCATGCATTTGATCTGAAGCTTGGGAGGCTGACTGGAATTAAGACAATAGTTACATTTTACCAGCTATGTGTTAGAGTATATTTTGGTGTTTAAAGTTCTTTTGTGGATTTCACTGTACAAGAAACCCCTCTGAAGGAGGGAAAGAAGGTTTATGTTGTCCAGCTTCTCTGGAGAAGGAATCTAAGGCCCCACTGTACATTGGTGGCAAAGCGTTCTGGTCATGTGCCCTTCTAAGCTATGGTGACAAAACCACCACGTGAACACTCAGATTCCAGGAGATGTAAGAAGTGTAGTTAGTTCCTGGTTTTTTTTTAGATAGGTTCTTGCTATAATAGTTTTGGCTGTCCTTGAACTCATTATGTAGCCCATGCTGGCCTGGATGCAGCAATCCTCCTGTCTCAGCCTCCCAAGTGCTGGGATTACAGGCATGAGCCACCATGACTGGCTGAAATGTAGTTAGTTCTAATAGGACTTTCTTTGGAAATAAAATTATTTTACTGACTTCTATAGATAAGCTTACATTTAGATCTGTTGAAAATGAGTTTAGTTAAGGCCTCTTTCAAATTAGAAGAAAAGCTCTTTCTAAAATGGGAAACTATGATTAGGCAAGAAATATTTAGTAAACAAAGTAGTTCAAGAAATTTGGCTATTTAGGAAAAAAGCAAAAAATAGAAAGTTTCTATTTAGAGGTATTAAAATTACTAGTTAAAAGAACCTTAAAATAATGTTCTACATTAAAAACATTACATTAACCTTTAGCTTAAATAGTTAAGAACTGAGTGTATTTGATCTGATTTAAGGTAACATAAGTAACTATGACTGAGCTAATTTTCACAGTAAAACTGAAAATGACCTCATGAAACTAAACAGCACCCATGTGAGATATATCCACTGCAGATTAGTACTGTAGACCATACTAATCACTACAATTGTCTTAAATTCTTTTTTGAAAATACCAGAGAATCAATACTAACCTGCATCATTTCTGTTCTGAAATATAGTCATGACTTCTAGATTTAATGCACATACCCCCTCATGAATGCTTTCTTCATGGAATCTTCAAAGTGTTCTTTCTCTTTTTGCATTTTCTGAATCTTGGCTTTTGCATTTTCCAAAGCACCAGATAACTACAATAAGATAATTTGAAAAAAAGAAAAATACTTGAGGCACAAGAGTATTACTGTTAAAAATATAAACACACTGTGAGGTTATTCTTATATAAAATACTAAAAACAGTTTGCTATATACCTCTTGTGCTATGTAACTCAATTTAGTTGGATTTTATGCCTACTGTCTTCATCAAAAAACTATTTTCATTCCTAACCATAAAGTCAAGGTTCAAATAAGTCAAATTTTATACCAGTTTCACTGAACATTGCCAGTGTATTTTCTCCATATAAAAATAGGTCATTTTTACCACACAACTTTTATGTAGGATATTAAACAAAATAATTTATTTACATGAGCCACAGATACCCTGATTCATTCTGGAGAAAACAAAAACAAAAACAAAACCTTAAATGCAACATGTATAGATGTTTAAGAAAGTGAATGTTACCTACAGAATTTAAAGTGCAGAGTGGTTTTAGGGTACAGCCCATTTTCCCCCTGGACCAAACATACAGGGACTACATTTTTGCATGTCACTTGAATTGGACAAAATTATTTGTACTATGAAATTTATTTATTTTTTATTTTTATTTAAAAATTTTTTTTTGATACTGGGGATTGAACTCAGGTCCTTGTGCTTGCGAGGCAGGCACTAGAACCATTTAAGCTAAATCCCCGGCCCTGAAATTTATTTTTAATATTAAGAATTTAGTGCCATAATGGTAAATTTTCCTTATAATATTTATTTCATGAAGTCTACTACATTTTTCAGATTGTTCTAATTTCATTTTAGGTCCTAAATATTTTACCATGGAAACTATTAATTTTATTATTAAAAGTCAAAGAAAAATAATTTCAATGCATGTACATCTGCTTTGTACCAACATTTTTTTTCTTTTTGAGATAGGGTCTCCCTATGTAGTTCAGGGGCTGGCCTCAAACTTGCAGCAATCCTCCTGCCTCAGCCTCCCAGGTGCTGGGATTACAGGCATTTGCCACCATGCCTGGTTATACCATCCTTATAAGAATAAAATTTAAATATGAGGATAAAATCTTTTTTTAATGTTTTTATTTTTGGCTATATGAAAAGAGAAACCTAACTATAAACTAATAATGAATCTACTCATCTTTCTTATTGCATTAAAAGAAAGCGAAATATAAGAGGTTACCATAGCAACTTTGGTCTCATAATCATTGGAAATCTGGATGCAAACTTCTTCAGCTCTTGCTTGACAAGCTCGCTCTACCACTTCTTTCCACTGCCTTTGTATGAGAGAATGCCAGCCCTTCCAGACTTTCTTCAGTAATGTTCTCTGGAAGTACTGGTCAGCTAGTTTACCTTCATAAACCTAAACAAAAGGAACATACAACCTCAAAGCCACAGTGGACTGGTGGATGTACTGGTGGTAATAACAGACATGCACGGTGGTAAGTGTACACACAGGATCATTCAACCCTAGTCAACCATACTGTTCTCAAACTGCACCTGGGAGGACAGGCTTACTGGGTAGGAGACAGGCCTTGGTCACACATGGGGGATGGGAAAAGCCAGACCTGCCTCACCCCTCCAACATAGCTTAATGCAGCTAATCTGGTCTGGGGAAAAACATAAACCCAAATCAAAGAAAATGAGAAACTTGCCAATTTAGCTATGAATTTGCATGACCTTTAAATAAATATTTGTTCTTGAAATGGGTCACTTGACAAATAACTTTCAAAGCATGACAAACTCATTTTAAACAACTTGTTTCAACATAATGAAGGTAGAACTCAGCCATTGGGATTAATTAAAACACAAAAGCACTAGGAAATACTCATGCTAGTTAACCTGGAATGTCAATGTGGCTGGATCAAGGGGCTCTGGAAGTTGATTAGATAGTCCACTGAGGCCCTCACAGCTGAATGAAGGCCTGGTTGGAGGTCAAAGATCACTGAAGGTGTAACCTAGTAGAGTGCATTCTCATCATGGCCCCTTCCCCTTGCCTGGCCCCTCCCCTGCTCTCTGTTCCTGGCCAGGTGTGTGTGTGTGTTTGTGTGTGTGTGTGTGTTAAGGAACTTTCCTGTATCACAACTTCTGCTATGGGCATTTGTGCCTTGGAACCAGCTATCCTGGGCTGAAACATGAGTGAAGTAAACCTCTTTTTCTTTAAGCTGCCAGTGTCAGTTATTTTTTCCCAGCACAGAAAGCTGACTGATACAAATCCTTAAAGAGAAATTCTATTCCATGATAACAATAACTTTTTCCTAAATACATACTAATCTCTTGGAACCTAACATACAGAAACTGCTCCAAGCTCACAGGAACATACATACATGGAAATATTTATACACTTCCCTTATACTTATGACTCTCTCTCTCTCTATCTCTCTCTCTCATGTTTTTCTACTTCGAGGTCATTTCACTATTTTTATATATTGATTCAATTCTTATTAAACTAAAGATGTTCAGGTTTAAATTACTCATTTAATTTTT